TAAAAATATAAAACAATAAAATTCTCACGACGTTTCGACTGCAACACAAGCAAGACATTTTTTTTTGCTGTGGATTTCACACCTGATGATGATTGCTTGTGTTGCAGTCGAAACGTCGTGAGAATTTTATTGTTTTATATTTTTATTATTTTATTATTTCCCTTCTACGCGACTTTACCGAAAGGACCAAGAAAAATGTATGGATATTTAATTTATTTGCACCATACGGGGCCAGCCGTGCTAAATCCGAGACTGGAGTGGAGCGGATTTTTTTCCCCTTGCAAGCGTGACCTGGGTCAGCAAAAAAAAAACTAAACCAAATTTTTTTTGACACAAAATAAACAAAAACCAATGAAGCAGAGAGAAATCGTTAACCAAAATAATGATGACTGTTGCCACGTGGGACATCGAAGATATTGCACAAACGTAAATCCATGTTATAGATCATCATCATCATCATCATCATCTACAACATGTCTCCTACAGTCGACTAGGATCGAGGATGGGGAGATGATTGGGAGATGAGGAAAGAGTGACGAGATGGGGGGTAGCGAGCGCAGGGATGGGGTGAGGACCGTCTCCCCTCCTCCGTGGTGGGCGACTCCACAGGTTCAGTCACTCGGCCGCGACGGAATAAATTAAATTGGTGATTTGTAAAATAACAGGAAAATTATTCTGCGAAATATCCAGGAGGACCGCGCTGAGTCTCGTGAATCTTATTCAGGAGGGTCCTGCTGCTGCTGCTACTTTTTTTTTTGTTAATATATAAAGATGTTTTCAGCCCTCCCAATTAATGATGAGGTGTGTTTATGACACCACGTGGAAGGGGAGAAAATAACATTTTTATTTTTACCAGTTAAGGCCTCGCTGAGCGATGTAGCTCTTTTCCAGAAGCGATCTGGCCACAATTAATATCTCAACGACGTGGCTCGTCACGTGGACATTTGTCGCAGCCAAATACTCTGAACGTTTCTAAATGTGGTGGACCCGGAGAACAATCCACGCGAGAGAGAGACGCAAACTACAAATATACAGCAGCAGGCGTCAGGGTCGCGATCGAACCCACGACCTCCTGTATACCAGGCGAGGTAGTTAACATCTACTAGCCACCGCAGCGCAAAGGAGGAAACCGGAGCACCCGGAGAAAAACCGCGCCTTGCGCGAGGGGGCAAGACTCGTTCCCCCGTACAGATGGAAACGGATGGCGATCAGTCCACACTTTGCTGTACTCCCTTCTGCTGGCGAGCCCGGAGTAAATGGGCACTTCCTCGACGCTCACGGGAAGGGAGTTTCACAACATCCGTGCGTGAGCCACCAACCCGAGCCCTTCACAGCGCTGGGTTACAGGCAAAGACAAAGATCCTCCGTGTAGCCTGAGCGGACTATTGGGGCAAGTGCTGTGAACGAGCACCTTTTGAAGGCGATACGGCACACGAGTGGAAATAGTCGAGCCCTGACCGCCTTTATCTCCCCAGTTTGTGATGTTCACACAGCGCACCAGGTACTCATTTTAAGGCCGGACACCTCGATACAAAGGAGGGAAAATCGAACTCCGGGTTACGGGGTTCGCAGAGCAGTGCGCTAACCACTGCGCCACCGCTCCTCAGACGTTTGGAATGAATGCTTGTATGGCATTAATATACTCATATATATATATATACAGCATATCTACAAATACATACACGGCCACTCATCCGAGACGCACACACATCAGAGTAAATGCACACACAAGTAGGCACCCATACGCATACATAAACACACATACACAGACAAAGATCCCCCGCATGGCCTGTAGCATTACCGCTTGGGGCAAATGCTGTTCTAGCGAGCACCTATTTGAGACCGGGACGGCACACGAAGGGGATGCGGTGACCAGCACCACACAAACACACAGCAACTCAATCGTGGCACACACACACACAACAGCAAAAGATTCCCGTAAAGAAGTGTAGCCTGCCGGGGCAAGTGCATACACGTTGGCCAACATCGGTGAAGGGCAGCAGTGCTGTACACGGGGGTTTGACTCCGTCTGATCTCCAGGCGCGGCACCTGAAACAATGAACACGATTCCTCAATATTGTACCCCACCCCCGCCTCTGTCCACCCAACAATGTATGCATGGGTACATCGCAGTAAAGTCTGTGATGTGGGGCGCCACGGTGACTCTGGGATGTTAGCTACCTCTTCCGGTATACAGGAGGTCGTGGGTTCGATCCCGACCCTGACGCCTGCTGCTGTATATTTGGAGTTTGCGTCTCTCTCTCTCATCATCATCACGGTGGCTAGGAGATGTTAACTACCTCGCGTGGTATACAGGAGGTCGTGGGTTCGATCCCGACCCTGACGCCTGCTGCTGTATATTTGGAGTTTGCGTCTCTCTCTCTCATCATCATCACGGTGGTTAGGAGATGTTAACTACCTCGCCTGGTGTACAGGAGGACGTGGGTTCTATCCCGACCCCTGACTACACCTGCTGTATATTTGGACTTTGCGGTGTCTCTCTCTCTCCCCGTGGTCACTTGGATTTTTCTCCGGCTCCTCCGGTTTTCTGTGCACATTTAGGAGCACGCATTTAGAGTCTTTGGCTGCTATAAATGTCCAACATTGATAAGCCACTTCGATTAGCTATCATTTGTGGCCAGGTCACTTTTGAAAAAGAGCTATATACTGTAGCTCAGTGAGCCTTACATGGTCAAGTAAATAGTTTAGTTTGTAGTTTAGTTGAAAGCCAGTTGGAAGGTGGGGTAAAGTGTGGGTACTCCCACCTCTACGGAAGACGTCTGCCCAATGTGGAAGAGTAGGCCAAACTATCCCCTATAGGGGGCTGTGTGGCGCTTCCCCGCACCTCCAATTAGCACGGTTGGCTACGTACGGTGCGAAAAAAGTTCAACATAGTTACATGCAGGAGGCCTCTTCTGTCAGCAGTGACGTCGGCCAGCAATTGCAGGGCTGCGCCTTCATCTGTTACATTAGAATATGTATTCACACTTGGAGGAATCTGATGAGTTATAAAGCTCTTTTTCACAGATGTTCACGCACCGCCACTCACCCTTGGTACATAGGTTCTCGGTCGTAACACATTTACAGACACAGGTGACGGTATATATACACACGCGCACACACGTACATCTATTAGACTGGATATACTCCTAAAGATAGGTCGGCTAATGCGACTTCCATTCGCTCTCAGTGAGCTCCGTTAGCTGGAAGCGACCTCCATTAGCGCAAGTACACGCCCGTTATATTTCCCCATTATAACGTGCAGTGTAATCTTGACCTCAGCGCGAGGGGGGTCAAGGTTAGGGTCGGGATTAGGGTCACGGCAATACACGAAATGTAATAGAGCGGCGGGGAGATCGTGATTTCATGACAATGCAGCCCCGCGCGTTTCGCTCCCACCAATGAGAGAAGGCGCGTGTGTCGGTTTCATTGAGTCCCACGCGCTTTCGTTTCCACCAATGAGAGAAGGCGCGTGTGTGTCGGTTTCATTGAGTCCCACGCGCTTTCGTTTCCACCAATGGGAGAAGGCGCGTGTGTGTCGGTTTCATTGAGTCCCACGCGCTTTCGTTTCCACCAATGGGAGAAGGCGCGTGTGTGTCGGTTTCATTGAGTCCCACGCGCTTTCGTTTCCACCAATGAGAGAAGGCGTGTGTGTCGGTTTCATTGAGTCCCACGCGCTTTCGTTTCCACCAATGAGAGAAGGCGCGTGTGTGTCGGTTTCATTGAGTCCCACGCGCTTTCGTTTCCACCAATGGGAGAAGGAACTTGTTATATTTTTTATTAATTTTAATTTCATTTTTTTACCTACGTGATTTTACCGAAAAAACTAAGAGTATGAATCCTTGCAGTCACGAAAGCTTCAAATCTAGAATTGTTATATTTGTTGTCGACTCCTGGTTATAGACTCTGTACTCTCCACTCTGTACGAGTGGAGGAATGACTGTGGTCTTGCCCCTGTTCTGCACCTTCAAGTGGGGCTCCCGCTACGATTCCTGCTCTAATTAATGCGAGGATGCCTTTATTAAATAATCAAAGCGAGAGACGTCTAATGAGATGCTGGGCGCATGGGTGAAGATGGAATTGGCGGGGGGTGTGTTGTTTGTGAGTGTGCACGCATGTGTGTGTGTGCGTGTGCGACACCAGTGACGATTATCTGAACCGGTACTGGGCCTCCCGAGGTCGACTGAGCCTCAAATGAGTACCTGGTGTAGTGTGTAAACATCGCCACTGGAGAGACAAAGGCGGGCGGGCGGGCGTGGTGTTGGCTACCCACCCCCTCGTGTACCGTTCCGGCCTTCATAGGTGCTCGCTCACAACAGTCTGTTACAGGCTACACGGGGGGAGATCTCTGTGTGCACACGTGGATGTGTCTGTTGAAATGGAAAATGTCATCTGCGCCGCCTCCGCCTCCCACAAAGATAAAGAACGGCAGATTTACACCTTCGTGCCCCCCCCCCACCACTTCCTACCCCCCCCCCCGTCCCCCCCGCCACCCCCACTAACAAAGCTCCCTCACTCTCTTCGCTGCCGCGTGTGTGGGACCGCGATGATTATGCTGATTTAGCACGGTTTGCTACGTACGGTGCGAAAGAAGTTCTACATACATGATGGTTTGATCCCTTTTTGCTAAATCTCTGTTCACGGTTTGGCATCTGTACAATGAAATGGAGAATATATTTCCACTTGGATTGTCACGCATGGCGACGCCTTGGAACACGCACACTCCAAATATACAGCAGCAGGCGTCAGGGTCGGGATCGACCCCACGACCTCCTGTATACCAGGCGAGGTAGTTAACATCTCCTCGCCACCGCGAGTCGCTGGTGCTGTGTGTAAACATCGCTACTGCGGAGGCGGCCGTGCCTGGGGCTGCCCACCCACCCCCTCATTGTGCCGTTGGGTTCTCGATAGCAGCACTTGCCCCAACAGTTTATTGAAGCGACTACACGGGGTATCTTTGTCTTTGTGTGCGTGCGCGTGTGTGTGTGCGTGTACTGCAGCTACTCTGGGCACGCTGGAATTCACTCTGCTCTACGAACAGGCGAACAACGCTCTGCACTGCACCATCATCAAGGGCAAGGTGATGGCGGTGGTGGCACCTTCTCCTCCTCCTCCTCGTCACCCACTCCCTCCTGCGCCAGTTTTGCGGACAAATGATTTGCTGCTGCCTGCGGTGGCGGTGGCACGCAGCGGTGTTGCTGATGTGGTAATGTCGAGTTGGGTGGTGGCAGTGGGTTGGGTGGAGGAGGGTTGAGTGGATTGACGCTACTGGGCAGTCGGAGGAAGTCGCCCTTCAGCAACAGCGGTGGGCGGATGAGCGACGCTCACGTATGCATGTGGAACTTTTTTCGCACCGTACGTAGCCAGCCGTGCTAATCGAAGGTGCGAGGGAAGTTCCAGAGAGCCCCCTCTAGAGAGTGATTTGGCCTACTCTTCCACGTTGGGAAGACGTATTTTGTAGCGGTGGGAGTCCCCAAGCTTTAACCCACTTGCCAATTTACTCTAAACTATTTTTATTCAGCAGGTAAGGCCCACTGAGCTATATAGCTATTTTTCAGTAGCAACAAAGCTAAGCCGGCTCCAGCCTGGTTCATCGTACACTCGATGTCTGGCGAATAGCAGGCGACGCAGACACGGCCTGCGATGTGGCCAAGCGGTTGCTGTGCAAGCGATGGATTTTTAAAAAAATCCATCTGTTTTGAGTTGCGCCTGTAAAATCTCCGCGTAGTTGGAGGTGGAACAATAAACCACGAGGATGGACACGATGAGTGTGGGGGTGGTGGAGGGGGGTAATGGTGGAGGTGGTGGTGATGGTGATGGATGGGGTTTCCTCCCGCCCACCCGAAGCCGTTAATGGAAGCGGCCAAACATCCCAATGTAGCGGCACCCTACCTAGACAAAATAATCTTGAGATTTCTTGATGAATGGAATTTTTGTTATCGTTCTTATTATTATTATACGATGTTGGCATTTTCGCTAAAAGGCGGCGCTGCGGTTGACTTAATGGGGCTCTGAACCCCGTTCATTCGAGTTAGATTCTTCCCTGGGGTTGCACACAGCAACATCACAGAGGTTGTTACCCGTCCGGCACCGTGGGCGGTAGGGGGTAGTTTGACCATACTTCACCACGCCGGTCAAACACTCCCCTCCCCTTCCTCCCCTAGCCCCACCCTCCCCCACCGTGACCCACTCCGCGGGGAGGAAGCCTCCTTGCTGCCGTGAATTTGACAAAGGGCCGCAAAGAATTATTGGCGTGCATTTTCATTGTTATTAAAAGTTAAAATGTTGATATTATTGATTATGTTACTTATTCGTATTCGTATAATTCTCCTTCTCTCCACCCAGGGGTCTCTGCCCCCCCCCCCCCGTGTCCTCGTCTCGCCATCGATTGCCCCGCGTCTCGGCGTCCAAATCCCTCCTCCTCCTCCCCCCACGTCTTTGACGCGACGTGAAATCTTAACGCGGCTGGCACACACACCCACACACAATCTGCCACGGGAAATCAGGGGGGATGGAGGGCCGGGAGATACGAGAAAGATGCTCTGGGATGTGGGGAGATCGTGGGAAGACCATCCGCAACCGCAAGCAGCCGTTTTATTTTGCAAACAAATTAAACAAAAAAATATTCCAGTGCGTAAAGTAGCTTCCAGAAATCGGAATCTTGATTTAGACTGGAAGAATCCGTAGAGCTGTGAAGCTCTTTTTGTCGCACATGTCTAGCCACCTACCCCACCCACCCCACCTACCCCACCCCACCTACCCCACCCCACCCCACCCCACCTACCCCACCTACCCCACCACCCCCCACCTACCCCACCCCACCACACCCCACCCATTTGATGATTCGTCACGGTTCGATAAAAGAAATCACAAACAAAACACTCACCACATTCGTCAACAACGACAGTGTGTGTGCGCGCGTTGCCTTAAAAGGAAACGCGTAAAAATTATGCGACGTTTCGGGAAACGGCCCTTATTCATTGCACACACAAATAATTGAAAAGCAGACGACGGAGCGCCTCGTGTGGATGGTTTCCCGACGTTCTACGCTTTCACAACCACGAGGGCGTTCGGTGGCTTTTGCTCCGTTAGCGCCCCCCCCCCCCCCCGTGCAACACCAGCGTCTCATTTGCATGGCATTTGCATATCGTCATTTGCGTAAATCGTAAAAATCAGCAAGTCGGTTGTACGTTCACCACCCGGCTGCCAGCGTGTGTGAGTGTGAGGTGCTCACTAACAGCACTTGCCCATTTAACAGGCTATACCGGGGGGGGGGGGGATCTTTGTCTTTGCCTTTGGTGTGCGCGCGCGAGCAGGGACTCAAGCCCATGGACTCAAACGGTCTCGCCGACCCTTACGTGAAGCTGCATCTCCTGCCCGGAGCGAGCAAGGTGCGGGAGAGCGGGGGGGGGGGGGGCGAAGAGGGGGGGGGGAGGCGAGGGGGGGGGCAGGGGGGAGGCGAAGAGGGGGGGGGGGAGGCGAGGGGGGGGGGCGGGAGGCGAAGGGGGGGGGAGGCGAGGGGGGAGTCGGGGGCGAGTGGGGGGGGGGTCTGGGCTGGAGGTGAGCGATGAGGTTGGCAAAGGGGGGAGTGGTGAGGAGGAGGAGGAGGCAGGAAACTCGCTGGCGATGTGAGTGCAGGGTTTTATCATCGGAGGTGATGGGTGATGATGTTGGGCAGTAGTGGGGGGTGGGGGTGATGGGATGGCTGATCGCGATGGGTGATGGCGAGCGAAGATGACAGGGGCCGATGGGAGAGGGACAGGCGATGGGGGAGAGAGTGTGCTCGATTTCGATTGTTTGACGATGGCGAGCAGAGTTGGAAGGGATGGCACGGGTGATGGCGTAGTTGGCGTTGGCAGGGGGGAGGTTGTAATGATTTGACACGAAGTGTCACAGCGTGATCCCCCCTCCCCCCTCCCCCGCGTGACAATAACGGATGAGTCAATTAAACCGTTGCGGGGGCTATTTATTTATTTATTATTCCAGCAGGTAAAAAACTCGCCGTGCTCCGTAGCTCTTTTTCAGAAGCGACCTGACCAGAAAATGACAGCACCACTAAGCGGCTCATCGCGTGGACATTTAGAGCAGCAGCCAAATCATCTCGACACACGCCGAGTCTAAACGTGGAGGGGGAAAACTCTGGAGACATGCACACTCCAAAATTACAACATGCATCACAGGGTCGGGGATCGAACCGACGACCTCCCGTAGACCAGGCGAGGTAGTTGACACCTCACCACGGAACACTGGCAAAGCCACGTGGGGGTGGGGGGGGCAGGCGCGTCACCGTTTGGCCGAGCGTGAGCCGTGCCGGAGCTCGCGGCCACGTATCGGATTAGCGATAGGATTAGGACTGGGCTCGAGATTAGCAGTAAAGTCTGGGTTGACCTAATGACGGAGCTCGGGTCCAGGGTCCAGGCTATGGCCGAGGTCACAGTCGACGCGGAGGAGTGGCGCGGGGGGGTCTGGCGCGCGCCGCGCGATTGGAACGTGACACGACCCCCCGCAGTTCGATTTCCCATTCGCGGGCAACACCAGCGACGAATGTCCGAACCGGCACTGGGACTCCTTTGTGGTGGCGTGTAAACATCGCCGCCGAGGAGACAAAGGCGGACCGGTTTGTGGTGCTGGCCACGTGTGGCGTGCCGGCCGTCATGGCAAGCTGCTCGTTACCAGCACCCCGCTCCAAACAATTCGTTGACGAGGCTGCACCACGGCCGGGAGGGTGGGGATTTTTTTTTTGTCTCCGTGAGATTTTTTGTTGTTGTTGCTGCTGCGAAAAAACGAAATGTCCCCGCAGGCGAACAAACTGCGCACGAAGACGCTGCGGAACACGCTGCACCCCGTGTGGAACGAGACGCTCACCTACCACGGCATCACGGACGACGACATGCTGCGCAAGACGCTACGGTGCCCGGGGGAGGGGGGTGGGGGGGCGGTGAAACCGTGCGAGATCCCCGGCCAGAATCCTCCGGAAATGATGCTCCGTGAACCCGTCCCTGATCCCGTGACCCTGTCCCTGACACCCTGACCTTACTATTCACACAGTGACCCCGTCAATGACACCGTGACCTCACCATATCACCATTAACACAGTGACCACGTCATTGACAGTGACCCTATCATTGCTCATAAGAGTGTTTTTTGGGTTAGATCGTGTAAATATAAATGTCATTAAACCCGTTACCACCCGTCTAGCATTGCTACTTTGACCCCATCATTGACACAGTGACCCCTTCATTGAGACCGTGAACCCGTCCCTGACACCATGAAACTGCTACCAAATGTGCGGATTTCATAAAGTATGTCCCTGCATCCTGAAGCATTTGCGCAAAATCGAGATTTTTGTTCTCCACGGTTTAAGATGTTATGGCCTTACGGTCTACTCCGATAGCGCCGCGACCCCGTCTGTAACGCCGCGACCCCGTGTCTCGCCCCGCGCTGCCCTCTCCTCCGTCGCCGCCGCTCAGGGTGTCCGTGTGCGACGAGGACAAATTCGGTCACAACGAGTTCATCGGGGAGACGCGGATCCCCCTGAAGAAGCTCAAGGCGAACCAAGCTAAAAACTTCAACATCTGTCTGGAGAGGCAACTCCCGGTGAGTAGCTTCTGTCTGCGGCGGTCAACGTCGTGGCAGCAGTGGGGGGTAGGGGAGGTGGTGGCAGGGCAAAAAGTAGCGCTGATGAGCCCCAATAGGGGTGAGGTCCCCGTAAGATGGGCACGCGCCTTCGCCACTTGCGAGAAGTTAAAGACGGTGTCGTCTTGAAGTTTACATCGAATTAATTATCATTAACAGCCATGATCTGTCCAGTGTTGGGTTTCGGATAAGAGTTTGGAGGCTTGCAATCGGGACAAAGATTTCCCCATATCGTATTCCAAACTTGTTGTTTTGTATTTGTGCAATGGTCAGTCTTAAAGTGGTCCGCCCGATTCAACTGGCCCTACAGGGAATGTATTGTTTGAGAGCGATTCATGTTTTGTGCAGTGTTTTTAGATTTACCGTGCGATCACATCCAACCATCTCACTCACACACTCACTCACCCGCCCATCAATTCACGAGCCCACCATCTCATTCACTCACTCACTCACTCACCCACCCGCCAATTCACTCGCCCACCATCTCACTCACTCATTCACCCGCCAATTTCACTCTTCCACTACCTCATTCACTCACTCACTCACTCGCCCATTAACTTCCAAACGAGACTCATGTTGGCCTCTTACGTTCCAAGCGCGACGGACACAATCAAATGGTGAACTTCTCTGCTCCGCAGTCTGCTCGCAGGAGCGGCACTGGGATGGGAGGAGCGCGTGGGATGGCTCTGTACGAGGAAGAGGTGAGTGGAGACACGTGCGTGTGTGTGTGTGCGCGTTGTAACAGTAGGGGGCACAGGCGGTGTATCAGCCACTCATCTCAGTCAGTCGACCCGTGGCACCTGCTGGGTCTGCCCCGTGACCTCCTGCCGGCACTTCACGTGGCCTCAACGTGCACCTAGCCCGGCACAAGCGCCGTGGTGACGTCACCGCCACTTAGTGGCGAATGGCGGTTGTTGTTGTTGTGTGCGCGCGTGCGCACTCACACGCAAAGACTATATGGGGATCTTTATCTGTGTCGCACACACGTGCCCGAGTGGTGGTGCAGCGGTCAGCGCGATGCGCTACGAAATCCCGGCGAACCCGAGTTCGATTCCCGATCACGGCCACCAACATCGGCCACGAATATCTGAAGCAGTTCTGGGCCTCTCCTGGGTCGACTCGGCCTAAAATGAGTACCTGGTGCGGTGTGTAAACATCGCCGCTTGGGAGACAAAGCGGGTCAGGTGTGGTGCTGGCCACCCACCCCCTCGTGTGCCGTGCCGGTATTCCAAAGGGGTTCGCGAACAGCACTTACCCTACCAGTATGTAAAGGCAATACGGGGCGTCTTTATCTTCGTGTGCACTCACACACACACATTGAGAGTAGTGGGGAGCAGTAGCGTATCTGGTGTGTCCATATCCTTCGGGTGGCCAACTTAGACAACCGTCGACTTAAATCCAGCCGTGACGCTTGCCCTGTCGCCCTCCCTCAAACACTCACCCACCCACCCCCCAAACACTCACCCACCCACCCCCCAAACACTCACCCACCCACCCCCCAAACACTCACCCACCCACCCCCCAAACACTCACCCACCCCCCAAACACTCAACCACCCACCCACCAACCCCCCAAACACTCACCCACCCCCCAAACACTCACCCACCCCCCAAACACTCACCCACCCACCCCCCAAACCCTCATCCACCCACCCCCAAACCCTCACCCACCCACCCCCCAAACACTCACCCACCCACCCACCCCCCAAACACTCACCCACCCACCCCCCAAACACTCACCCACCCCCCAAACACTCAACCACCCACCCACCAACCCCCCAAACACCCACCCACCCCCCAAACACTCAACCACCCACCCCCCAAACACTCACCCACCCCCCAAACACTCACCCACCCACCCCCCAAACCCTCATCCACCCACCCCCAAACCCTCACCCACCCACCCCCCAAACACTCACCCACCCACCCACCCCCCAAACACTCACCCACCCACCCCCCAAACACTCACCCACCCCCCAAACACTCAACCACCCACCCACCAACCCCCCAAACACCCACCCACCCCCCAAACACTCAACCACCCACCCACCCCCCAAACACTCACCCACCCCCCAAACACTCAACCACCCACCCACCAACCCCCAAACACCCACCCACCCCCCAAACACTCACCCACCCACCCCCCAAACACTCACCCACCCACCCACCCCCCAACACTCACCCACCCCCCAAACACTCACCCACCCACCCCCCAAACACTCACCCACCCCCCAAACACCCACCCACCCCCCAAACACTCACCCACCCACCCCCCAAACACTCAACCACCCACCCACCCCCCAAACATTCACCCACCCCCCAAACACTCAACCACCCACCCACCAACCCCCCAAACACCCACCCACCCCCCAAACACTCACCCACCCACCCCCCAAACACTCACCCACCCACCCACCAACCCCCCAAACACCCACCCACCCCCCAAACACTCACCCACCCACCCCCCAAACACTCACCCACCCACCCCCCAAACACTCACCCACCCCCCAAACACTCAACCACCCACCCACCCCCCACATCAATGAGTGCGCCCCCTCAACCCGCACCCGTTACACCCTCCTCCGACTCTCCACCCCCCCCTCCCCCTGCCCCCCCCCCCCCCCCCCACCGGGGTCCCAGGGAGACAAGAGCGAGGAGAAGGGTCAGGAGGAGAGGGGCCGTGTTCTCATCGGCCTGCGCTACAGCATGCAGAAGGCCGGCCTGCTCGTCACCGTGCTGCGTTGCGCTCACCTGGCCGCCATGGACGCCAACGGATACTCGGACCCCTTCGTGAAGCTGTGAGCAACGGCCGCATCATCATCATCATCGTCACTATCGTCATCACCACCATCGTCTTCACCACCATCGTCATCATCACCACCATCGTCATCACCACCATCGTCATCATCACCACCATCGTCATCGTCATCACCACCACCATCGTCATCATCACCACCACTGTAGCCACTATCGTCATCACCATCATCATCACCTGGGCTTGACCACGTGCGTGTGACATTGTAGTCGTTGCTCTGCATCGACATCAGCAGCAGCCGTACGACAGAAGAAGAAGATCATCATCATGGCCACATTCATCATCGTCGTCGTCGTCATTGCCATGGTGATGGTCATCGCAATCATCGTCAAGGTTGTTGTTGTTGTTGATGTCGTGGCCATCACGATCGCCACCGTAGTGGCTGCGCAGGGCACGCAGCTCGCACAGAGCAACCGAGCCGGGCTCCTCGCCCCCCCCCCTCTGCTCCCCCCCCCACTCCCTGCCCCCCCCCACTCCCTGCCCCCCCCCCCCCACTCCTTGCTCCCCCCCCACCGCAGGCACCTGAAACCCGACATGGGCAAGAAGGCCAAGTGCAAGACGAGCATCAAGAAGAAGACCCTGAACCCCGAGTTCAACGAGGTGAGCCGGCCCTCGCAACTACCGCAACTCATGCAACTCTTGAAACTGCCGGAACTACCGCACCCCCCCCCCCCCCCCGGCCACCCCCACTTATTTTCACATGTCTCACTGCTTTATGGGTGTACGTGGTTGGGAACGGTGTGGGTGGAGGGGGGGGCAGTGGCGAGCTCTACAAATGCACCAGATATGTGACGAATATACCCGAACCGGTCCATTCTGGGCCCCCCCCCCCACCCATAGGTCCATTCAAGCCTTAAAAGAGGTGGAACCTCTCGGTTTGTCCCGGCTCGCCAAGCGACGCGTGCGTGGCGAGCTATAGGGGAGTCTGCGAGTGGTGCAGGGACATTGAGTAAAGAGTCCAGGGGACCCTAAGGGGGTCAAGGGGTCGTGGGTGGGGTGGGGGGGAGTTTGGCGGGGCTGGTGTCCCATGTGATGCACCGTGGGTGGGGAGTGGGGAGGGTGGATCTGTATGATCTTTGTTGGTTGTGTGTCCGTGTCTCCCCGTGTCTCCTCTCCGTGTCCCGCAGGAATTCTTCTTTGACATCAAACACAGCGACCTCGCCAAGAAGACGCTGGAGGTCACCGTGTGGGACTACGACATCGGGAAATCAAACGACTTCATCGGTCAGTGACCCCCCCCCCCCCAATTCCCGCCCCACTACCACCAGCCATAGAGGTCAACTCTTACATCCAACGGCCGTGATGACCTCTTGACTTTGAATTCCAGAGTGGGGCAGTGGGCAAGGTAAGGGTAGGGGAGATCGTTCCAACCTCCCTCCCCTCCTCCCATGAGCCCATTGACCCCCCACACTGTGACATTGATTTGATGCCGGGTGTGGAGCGAGCTACGGGGGGGGGGGGGTGCGAGGTGTGAGCGGTGGCGCAGTAGTTAGAGCACAGTGGTTAGAGCACTGCGCTACGAACCCGACGACCCGAGTTACGATTCCCGCTTACGGCCACCACCAACACCAGTGACGATTATTAGAACCGGTTCTGAGCCTCCCCTAGGTCGACTTGGCCTCAAATGATTACCTGGTGTGGTGTGTACTAAACATCGCCACTGGGGAGACAAAAGCGGTCGGGCGTGGTGGTGCTGACCATCCACCCCCTCGTGTGCCGTGCCAGGCCTTCATAGGCGCTGCTACTCGCGTGGATTTTTCTCCTCTACATTTACAATCAACATCACGCGTTTTTGAGTATTTTAGCCGCTATAAATTCCCATGCAATAAGCCACTTGGTTGAGCGATCATTTGTGGCCAGGTCGCTTCTGAAAAACAGCTACGTAGCTCAGTCGGCCTTGCCTGGTAAAATAAAAATGGTTTTAGTTTTAGCACTTGCCCCAAAAGTCTGCAAAGGTGTGAGCACGTTCGTTGTAGGTGTGATGAACTTGCAACCAACCACGCTGATCGGAGGCGCTCGTCGTTCTGGTGACCTCTTGAACCCTCTCTGAACTCCGGTCCCCTCCTCCTCCCGTCCTCCCCCTCCTCCTCTTCGCCCTCCTCCTCCTTCCCCCCCTCCCCCTCCTCGCCCCCCTCCTCCTCCCCCTCTTCCCCAGGCGGGGTGGAGCTGGGCATCAACGCGAAGGGCGAACGTCTGAAGCACTGGTTCGAGTGTCTCAAGAACAAAGACAAGCGCATCGAGCGCTGGCACACGCTCACCGGGGAGGCTCCGGGCTCCGGGGCGCTGAGCGACTGATCTCCCGTCGCGGCATCTAAACCCCTCCACCCCCCTACCACCACCACCTCACCCCACCAACATACCCCCCCCAGCCCTTACTGAACACACCACAAGGGTTCTTCTCGCACGTTGACTCGCCACGGGAGTTGGTTGCCGTCGGTCCCCCCCTCCCCCACGCGAGGCAGGAAGGCCGCCCGGAGCCCGACTGGCTGATGAGACCCAGGAGGTCGAACCCAGGCCAGAGATTGCGTCACTGCTCGACGTCACGCGTTGCTCCGTGCCGACAGGCGGCAGCGTCGTTTACTCGCAGGAGGGGAGCTCGGGTCCACAGCTGTCTGCCAAACATTACCGAACGTGTCACCCTTCGAGTATAGCCGTCAAGCCGCCGTTATACGTGCCACACGCGCCTGATGATTGCTAAACGCATAGCACGTGCAACCCCCCCCCTCCCTCCTCGACAGCATGCTTCGACAGCATGTGATTTGGCATTTTCTCTCCAAAGATCTTCCGTGTAGCCTCAACAGAATGTTGGGGCAAGTGCTGTTAGCGAGCACCTATGAAGGCCGGCACGGCACGCAAAGGGGTGGGTGGCCAGCACCACGCCAGGCCGTCTTTGTCTTCCGAGTGGTGATGATTACACACCGCACCAGGTACTCACTCAAGGCCGAGTAGACCTAGGGGAGGCCCATGACCGGTTCAGATAATCGTCACTGGTGTTGGCCGTGAGCGGGAATCGAACTCGTGTCGCCGATCAGGGCGCTGACCATCATCACCGTCACTTTGAGATCGGCGCTTCTCTGTCACGCGGTGAATGATGTGTTTAGCAATCATCAGGCGCAACGTACGTGGGGCGAGTAACCACGCCACAGTTTTAAGCCACGGCCGGGAATCGAACACAGGTCGCCGGGTTCCGTAGCGCCAGTGTGCTAACCGCTGCGCCACTGCTCCGGTCACACACACAGATCACCTCCACCCCGATTTTTCCGCTGATCGGATCCGATATCATTTTGACGATTCGTCAAGATTGAAAAAAGTCACGAACCGATTATTGATATTGTTATTATTGCCCTCGTGGTGCATGTAAAACATCTTAGTGCTATGAAAATATATTAGGTTATGAACGATAACAAAAGTATATATATTAAAATCATACGAATCGGATAAACGATCGATTCTAAAAACGCACGTTCAACGCGCGGCGGTGATTCGTGATTGTAAACCATTTCTGATCGATTGATCGTTAAACCTATACTACTGCACGCACACACACGTGTGTTGTTTCACTACAAGTGGATTTACGAATCCCAAAACTCGTCCCCCCATATCCCCTCTAACGACTCAATCCCTCCCCCTCCTCCTCCCCAAACTCCAACTCCCCAACCTACAGAACCCGAATCCCCTACCCCTCCCCCCCACCCCCTTATCCCCCTACCCCCTTTTTAACCCTACCACTCTACCTCCTCCCATCCCCTCTCACCCCCTCCCCTCTCCGATACCCACTCCATCCCCCTTATTCCCCCCTCCCCCCTATCCTATCCCCTCCCCCCATATTCTATCCCCTATCCCCCTCCCCTCTCATATCCCCCTCCCCTCTCATATCCCCCTCCCCTCTCCTTCCTACCCCCCTTTCCTCCCATCCACCTCCCCTATTTCCCTCCTACCCCCCTCTCCTCCCGCTCCCCCCCTCTCCTCCCGCTCCCCCCCCCCCTCTCCTCCCGCTCCCCCCCCCTCTCCTCCCCCTCCTCCCCCCCTCTCCCCCCCCCCTCGCCCCTTACCCGTGCGCGAACTTCACCCAACTCCCCTCGCATGTTGCATGGAGGCCGCTGCTCTGGCGCGCCCCGGTCGTGACGTCGTGAATGATTTTGGAACTTTCGATTCTTTGCAATATTTATATCTATGGGAATGTACGTTCGTTATATATAGACACGCACGTAGACACACAAAGACAAAGGCGTCCCCCCGTATAGCCTTGACAGACTGTTGGGGCAAGTGCTGTTAGCGAATAGCACCTATGAAGGCCGGCACGGCACACGAGAGGGTGGGTGGCCAGCACCACGCCAGGCCGCCTTTGTCCCCCCCAGTGGCGATGTTCACACACCGCACCAGGTACTCGTTTAAGGCTGAGTCGACCTAGGGGAGGCCCGGGACCGGTTCAGATAATCGTCACCGGTGTTGGCCGTGTGCGGGAATCGAACTCGGGTCGCCAGGTTCGTAGCGCAGCGCTCCGACACACAGACACGGGCATCGACACGGAGCACACGGACAGACGCACACGAGACACGGTCGTATTGCGCACGACGCGAGCACTCAGCTATTCCACGTGTAGTCTGTGTACTCGTGTAGCACACGTGCTTGTATTTGCACGAACCAAGCACGTGCAAGTTGTGATGATGATGATGTTTTTTTGTATGCGTGACGGCTCGTGATATCATAACGGAGCCTACCCCCCCTCCCCTCTCCACGATGACCCCCCCGCCCCCCCTCCCCTCTGCCCCGCACTGCTGCCGAGGTCACGAACCGGCCCCCAAATCCCCAAAATTTGGCAGGGGGGGGGGGGGTATAGGCGGTCGCAATTGGTTGGTAGAACAGCAAGTAGGTCGCTAGGCCTTCAATTAAATTATACCCCAAAAGGGCCCAGACCATTATTATACTTACTATTAAATATAATCAACGCCTCGAGTTTCTCGGCTGGCTGCCCGGTTTCCCTCTCGATGACGAATTTGCCACAAAAACAACCCCCCCCCCCAAAACCAGCGGGGCATTCAGGCCAGGAGCCTCGCGAGGAAAAGTCAAAATCGCCTCGAGTCTCCTCCCACGTCGAGATTCTCACCTCGACCGCGTTCTTTGAGTGGGTCTATGGACTCTTGGTCAAAGCTAAAGGCGCGGCCCTGCACTCTGCTCGCTCACGTCACTGCTGTCGGACGAGCCTCCACTAGAGAGAGAGAGACAGTTACGTTCTCGAGTGGCATTTGGCCTACTCTTCCGCGCTGGTGAGAAACGAGCCAGGAGACGTGGCAGTATCCACACGTTACCCCACCATACGCGGCCTGCCGGTCAACTGTTTGGTGAACCCATGAACCCATTTGTTCACTGCTGCGTGGGCAGCAAGCGGGTTGGGGGAGGGGGAGTGATTTTAAGAAACTTGCCCTCGTTGTTTGAACCGCCGTGCCGTGACATGGAATCGAACCGGCGACCTCTGGATTGCATGCCAAGTGTTGCGGCCGCTATCAATATCGAGACTCGCGAGATGCAACAAAGAGCTCTCCAGCTACCAGACTCTGGGCTCGACTGTGGATCATACGGCCCTGCGTGTCCCTGTTTGTCCGCACGCGCGCGCGCGATAACCCCACGCCCATGCCACCCCCATTCCTTCCGTGTCCCACCAACCCCAGGAATTCCAGCATCGTGAGACTAAAGAATTAAACTACAACAACAACAATAATCTCTCGCTTCCAACTCTCCCAGTGTCGCGTCCTCTTGTCGCAGTCACGGACCACGAACGTGAATCGAGCGTCACACCGATCGATCCGACATCATCACCACCATCCTCACCCCACCTTCTGCATCCTCACCACCAACAATCACCACCACCATCATCACCAATCCTCACCAACTTCAGCATCTTCGCCATCATCAGCATCCTCATCACGAATCTCGCAATGACCACCATCGTCAGCATGGTGATTGGGAGCGGTGGCGCACGCAATGCTATGATGCACCGCTTTGGAGGGCCAGGGGTTGGTGGACCACGCGGGGATTTGTATGGTGATCAGAACCCCAAGCGGGGCTTGCAAACCCGCCCGTGCGAAACCTTTAGGCATCATTAACATTATCACGATCACCTTCGCACAAACCCCATCTCCAACAGGGATCCCGCGAATGGGGTTGGGGAGGACCAGCTGAACGCGTCACGTGGTCATTCATCAATTAAAGCCACAAATGAGGCTTTCGCTCCTGATGATCCTACTAAGCTAAGAACCGCACTGGGTCGTATGACTGACATTGGGTTAATTAATGACGATTATCATGACACTTGTATTAATACTATACCACATGGGAGGAGGAAATCCCACGCCTTGCGCGAGGGGGCAGCGCCACTCCATCCCCTGTACAGATGGAAGTAGATGTCGCCGAGACCGCCTGCTGTACCCACCTCCTCGTGGCGAGCGCCCGAGGGTACATTGCAAACCTCATCGACGTCCACCCACGGATAGAAGAGGGGGGGGGGGAAGAGTTTCACATCATCCGTGTGTGATCCACCAACCCTCGAGCATCAACTAATGATGTCATCCCCCAGGGCACGTGCGAGGGATTGGTTTGTTCAGAACCGCACAGCGTGTACGCCCGGCCGTCTATGTTTCACTAATTATTGGGGGGGGGGGGGGGGGGTTGAAATGGGTAGTGACCGGGACTGGCTAAGATTGTGCGGTTGTCCATCACGCACGCGCACCCTCGAGCAAAGACAAAGACCCCCCGTGTAGCCTGCATTGATTATTGGGGCAAGTGCTGCTACCGAGAAGATAATGAGGTCCGGGGCGGCTCACGCAGGCGGTGCGGTGTGGCCAGAACCACGCCCGAGCGCCTTTGTCTCCCCAGTATCGACGTTTACACGCCACAACAGATGCTAATTTACGGCTGAGTCGACCTAGGGGAAGCACATGACCTGTTCGGATATCGTTTGCCTCCTGATGTTGGGCCAATAACGTGGACATTGATGACAACAATCACACGGCTATGCACAACAACAACAAACGCCGTTCACCACTAAGTGGCGGTGACGTCACCACGGCGTTCGTGCCATGCTAGGTGCACTTCGAGGCTACGTGAAGTGTCGACGGTTCGCTGGCAGGGGGTCACGGAACAGAGCTAGCAGGTGCCATGGGTTCACCGACTCAGATGCCGGGCAGACGCACTCAGCTGTGATCCCCACTGTGCCAACTCGCTGCGTTTTATCCACCCGGCGCTCCGCTCGTTGTTGTGAGCGTCGCTCCTTTTGCCTCCTCCATCAACGAGCCTCCTCCACAGAATCCGATGTTGGCACCGCTGGTACCGGTCAACCAATGAGCTCCACATCCTCCTCCACACCCCCATCATCATCATCACCACCATCATCATCATAATCTCACACACACACACACACACGTGTAATTAGTGACTCAGACCAATTAAGCGTCCGTATTTAAACCCAGCTGCTCGAACGTACGCGTGGGTCTCAATTTAAGTTAATTGCAATTGCGAGCAGAGCAGTTTGTGGAACCGGACTGCATGGTCGAGTAACTTAGTCATCATTCCCACTCATCAGCATCGTCTATAAAAACGATTATAGTGGTTCTTCAACCTCTGTTGTTAAAGCCGAGTGTACCACCGCCGCCTTGCCTGGACCCAACATGGTTCTGAGAATTAAATGTATGAATAATGAACGTCAATATTTTCCCCAATCGTCGATTTTGTGAGGTAAACTAACACTGCAAGCGAATAAAATCAACGCTCTGCGTGCGTGAATCGATTTGTTCCCGCTCGCTGGCTACTCTTGAACACCAACATTGTTGATGATCGATCAACCAGTTTAGAAAGGTATTTTACATCGTTCGAGGTTACCATATTGGATTTCAATTCTCATCGTAGTTATCTTATATTGGCAGATTCGTATGCGAGTATTCACCAATGACTCATGGATGATATAATTTCACACTTTTTTTTTTATCATCTCACGTTGCGCTCTGGGACATTGTCCCCAGGGGTCCACGTACCCCCCCCCCCCCAGGGGTCCACGTACCCTCCCTCCCCCCAGGGGTTCACGTATCCCCTCAGGGGTCCACATACCCCCTCTCCCATCAGGGGTCTGCGTACCCTCGGTTGGGAACCCACTGCTGCTCTATATCATCGCCACGATTATCACCACCACCATCATCATCGTCATCCATGGCTTACTTGCTCCAGGTTCTTGAGGCGGTGGTAGCCGGGTCAAAGTTGGCCTTCCGACTTGCCCAACGGGCGAGTTCTGGACCGCCATCGCCGATCCAACGTGCGCGCAATTGCCCCACTCTGTCGTTGGCTGCTTGGATAACTACCCACGACTGAAATGTGGCTGTCCGCTCTTGTCCTTTGTGAGACGTGGCATCAGTCTGGGTTACAGTCCTTCGTTACCCCCATCGGGCCGAGTAAAATATGCCCGGATGTTGAGGTTCGTATTGAAGGAATGAGTTTCTCTCTATTCCCCAACAGCTCGCCTCTTGCGAAGCTCACCACGCGTCCCGCTCACCATCCTTGACACCCCCTTCTCTCCCCGCTCCTGTTACACACCTCACCACCCCTTAATTGTAGCAACCTTCACTCTTCCCGCCCCCCCTCTAGATTGAAAATTCATTTCTATAGAACTGCTTTTTGTGCTTCAGTTTGTCCTTCCCCCACAACCTCCGGGAAGCACGGTTGGCTACGTACGGTGCGAAAGAAGTTCGACACACATGCATCCCTCTTCCCGAATCCTCACCATCCCTTCTCACCGCCCACTACCTCCCCCGGTATCACCGCACACACACGTGACGTGATAG